ATCAAAATAATTTGTAAATACTGATTGGATGTAAATGGGATTAACTGTATGTTATATTTTTTAATTTTAATTATGTTTATTACTTAGTATTATGTGATATTGTTTTATGATTAATGTTTAATGATTGTGACAAATGAACTTGGAGTAGTAAGAAGTAAAAGGTTGTATTTCTAATAGTGTAAGTGTATGAATCTATGTTGTTATGATATGGCTTGATTTAATGTTACACCATGTATCTTTTTATGTTTTGTGTGAGACTGTATATAAGTTTGACGAGCTCTATATCCTATGGGTGCTAAAGCCCCTGTACAGGATTTGTGGAGTTATTTAATAATAAACAATAGAAGCATTTCAACAATGCCATCATCCTTCATGACAATGCCCCACCCCACCGTTCACGACATTGGGGATGGGAAGTACTACACCATCCCCCATGTACACCCGACCTTTCACCATGTGACTATGACTTAATACCCAAATTGAAACAGCTACTGAAAGGGAAACGCTTTAGTACACGAGAGGACAATTCCAACGCACTTCGGCGTGAGATGACAAGATTTAGAGATGGTGAAGCTGATGGTATTCGCAGTCTTCCTCATCGCTGGCAGCGAGTACTTGATATACTTTGAGACTACTTTGATGGTTGCTAGTCATAATGTAAGAATTCAGATTTAACTCACATTGTATTTTTGATTTCTTAATCACAATTGAATTTTTCAAGGATTAAAGAATGAAAAAAAGGTGATGCTGGGGCAGGTTTTCTCCGAGCACTTCGGTTTCCCCTGCCAATCTTCATTCCACCAACTGCTCCACAATCACCCTCACCTATTATCTGGGGCTGGTACAATAGGCCAGATGTGGTCGCAGTACAAGGGACTCAGTCCCACCCCACTAGCAATAAGAAAAAATAGAAGAGAATCACAGAGAAAGGCCAATAATTACTATGTACAAACTTAGCTACCTCTTACACATTCTGGCACAGATTTGATAATGCAATGACAGAACTTCAGTACATTTGATAACCAACTTACTGTGTCATGAAAGGCTTGCTAGATGGCGTTGAGGGGGTGGTCCGTGGTTCTGCACTTGTCTGCTGTAATCAGAATACAGTTACTGTAAAACAGTGTTCTTTCAGATGGAGAAATGCAAACCTACTATGTATCTATAAGTGACAGAGGGAAAGTCCCCTTGAATCAGTTCGCACAGCCACACAGAGCCTGGAGTATGTTTTTCATTGTTTTACTCTGTCCCTTAAGCCAGATTCCAGGAAATAAATTCTTCAACTTTCTTCCCTATTATTTAATGTTATCCACTTATCCTCATATAATTTCAGTGTTCATGAATTTTTTTCAGTGAACTATGGATTAAGAAGGTAATTACAGATTTACAGCATACAGAGATTTCTTCTGCGGTCACAATCAAAGGTGTTAAATATGTCCTCATTCTGATATACTTACAGCAATTTTTATACTCTATTTCACTGGCACTTTCGGATGACATGAACTGTCACTCCTTCTGGCCTAGAATTTTCAACAACTTTTTAAAATTCAATTTCCATTGACATTTCATGTTTTGCAACCCTGATGAGACCATTTTGTAATAGCGTAATTTATGTATTAAGAATATTTAGAAATGTAAAACATACAGAACTAATTAAGAAAGAAGTTCATATCTATAGCAGGAGATATTCACACCCATGCTGCATAACAAGTGAAGGAGAGAGCTGAAAAAGAGAAACATAGAAACAGATACAAGAAGAAGCAGAAGCAGTTCATGAGTGACTGTGTGGAACACTTGTTGGAACTACAAAAATTAATATTATGGTAATATTCTTGAATTTTTAAGACCACGTGTCTTTCAGACTCTACTGGTATCTAGTACTAAGTGGCTTGTCTATGCAGTACTGAATGAATATTATAGGACTTCTCCTGCCTGCTCCTCTTATTAACCACTGTCCTTTTGAAAATCTACATTCAACATGCTCTTCTCTGTGATATTTTGGCAACAATAAACTTGAACACTTTTTTTGTGAATTAATCTTTTTCTGAACTCATTCACCCTTCTAGGCATCTTATTCTACTAACTTACTACAATGCTCAGAACCCCAGCTTCTGAGAACATAACCCATGTACTCTGCATGTTCAGTGTGCATCACAGCAGATTCAGTAGGTGTCACAGCATTGTGGCTTCAAAGTGTGAATTTTAATTAATGGGAACAGTGAGATCAAAAGAAAAAAAAAGTTATTATAAAAGAATGAATTTTTAAAATATACAACTGTTCAGCTGTGCCCAACAATTTTACATTTATAACAAGAGTTCTAACTATCCATTCCTCATTTACATATGCCCCAAGAATTTCTACACTGATAACAATTACAAGCGATAAAAATATGACGCAGTAATGATTTCCATAGCATTTGCACTCATACTTTGACTACACTGTAGTTATGTTTTCAGATATATTATATCGTACTTTTTAAGAGTCACTTCAGTATTTCAGCAAGAACAGAAAAGGCATTATTAAGCCTGTTAACACAATGCTAAGATGTGATATCATGGTGGTCCTCATATGTCTCTTAAGTGACTTATCTATTATGCCAAAGGAAAAATAAGCTTGATAATGCACTGTCTGCATTAACAGAAGCACAGCTAGGTGGTTGAGGCACTAATCTACAAGTCCTCCGGGAGGGACTTTAAGCCGTCTGTCCCATGTCGTAGCTTTACGGCACATAAAAGATCCTCATGTCTCTAGGAGACCTCTGAGCAAAATTAGGCAAAGTTTTCCACCCAAGTAGTTTCCAATTCCTCCGGTAGATGGGGAAGTATCGGGGACTACTGCTAGAGAGGGCCGACCTCGCTGGCAGAACGGGGCTGATAACAAGCACCAGTACTGGAAGGGCATGGCGACTCTTAGAATAATTAAAGGAGGATGCACAATAGATTAACAACTAGTTGCAGTGCATGGGGAAACCCACCCCCTCCAAAATAATAATAATAATGCTACAAGCCAGAAGTTCGCAGGTTCAAGTCCTGATGAGGTCATTGGATTTTTTCAATTGACCTAATCCTTCCAGCCGCACTATGGCACTGGGGTCAACTAAGCCTCTAACAGAAATGAGTACTAGGAATATTCTTGGAATACTCTTGGGAGTAAAGGGTGGCTGGAACATAGGGCTGACAACCTTGTCACCATCTATGAGCCAATTATCTTGAAAAGTGGGAACCTCAGCATCTCACAACCCCATGGGCCTCCACAGCCTGTTACAGGGATATATTTTCTTTACTTACTTACATTTATAGCTACAGTACACGTAAAGGTGTCACATGTGGTGCACCCAGATATTTAATTTATTTATGGCTTATTTTACAATGCTTTCAGTAGCTCAGAATGATAGAATGATTCATGAATGATGAATTCAAAGCATAAAGTTCTAAGTGGTCATGGCCTATTGGAAAGTATTATTTCTGCAATTGCGTGTGTTTTGTTTGTGACCTGGTTATTTAATGATTCTGTCAGTACCAAGATTACATTAATGAATGATGCACTGGAAAGGATTTGGAAAGGAATGTTGATGTCCTATTTAAGGTATTATCCCAGCATTTGCCTTAAGGGGCTGAAAAAAAATGGAAACCCCAGTTGTAACAGTCAGTGTCCCAGTCAAGATCTGAATGGCATTTCCCAAATGAAGTGAGAAGTGTTATCGCCTAATCCAATATGCTCAGTGTCGAAAGATATAACTAGAATGATGTAATGGTATAATGTCAGAAGAAGGCACCTTTCTTCTAGTTCAATATGACAATGTTCTCAAGAACTATTTAATTTCAACGAAATGTTTATAATATTATGATAGAGCTGGAGATTTTTGCTGGTGATGATAACAAAGTTACAAATCAGTAACTTCAAAAGTTTATTTCAAGAAGTTTCTATAAAAGAATGAACACTGGTCAAAAAAAAAAAAATACACTGGCAATTAAAGCAAAGTGGGATATTGAAATACTTACATGAAGTCCCAAATATAATATTGATAATTACAAACTTAAGAAAAGAAATAAACATTCATTATTCTTTCTTATAAAAGTAACTGGATATTTCTGTCACCAATATATTTAAAACCATCCAGTCCATTTATTCTACTCTTGTTTATAACATACAACAATCTCATCAGGTAAGTGAACACAATGAAGAAACTTAACTTAATGAATATGGAACCGCATCAATTTCATACCAAAAAACCAGGGTCTGATCTGTTGGGCATTCTGAGAAAGGAAGGGTCAGAATTTACAAGGGTGAAAGCCTTAAAGGCTTAAGGCTGATAATGTTGTCCCAGACCATCTTACAACCGCATTATTATTTTTTTTTCATGGCTACAGACAGCATAATCAGTTGAACGTTTTAAAAATATAATCTTTGTAGCTCATTCTTTATTTTTACTCTGTTGTCTCTTTTCCAAAATTTCACTCCTACAAATGGGGAATATCAGATCACTATGGCCCCCCCCAAAGTTTTAGCATACAGCCTTCTTCTAGCTTATCAACAAAGAGTTCCAGCAGCCCTACTGTCAGTCAATTGGAAAAATTTAATTTTTATTTATGTTTCGCTTCTTGTATATCTGAACTGAACCCATATAACTATAAACAACAGAATGGATTTAAGTTAAATTTTTATTAGCAAACATCACTGCTTTAGTAACTTTGTCATATTTAAAGCATAGTGTCTGTAGTGCTACCTTGTTAACAGAGCCTCTCTTGGTGCAGTTCTGCAAAAACTTCTGTTGTTCTAACTATGTTCTCAGTACAGGTGCATGCAACATGCATAAAGGGGTTTCCTGAATACATAATTGGAACAACCAAAATCTTGACACAGAAATCACATTAAAATTATACACAAATTGGACGCTGAATTAAGAAGAAACGTGTGACTAGAGAGATCATTTATCATATTGCCAAGCAGGAAATGAATTCCACTTCAGGGACAAGAAGAGGACTTTGTTATGCATAAAAGATTACAAGTCTGGCACAGCTATTTCTTAAATATTAATTGCAAAAAGGGGAATTATAAAACTTGTGTAATGTACACATCTGACTTGCTAAAATTCATATCAGACAAATTAATGTTTTGAAAACTAGAAGTTGCAGATCACAAGGAAATAAGAAATCAAAGTGCATTTAACCCTTTAGTACCAGAAAATTTCCAGTTTGTACCTACCATCAAAGGGTCAAGAAAACTATTATGTTAAATTATTTCAGTTAAGGTAGAGCCTGATTTGTTGTTAAATTCACAGTCTGAATTTTCATTTACTCTCCAAGTGTGAAATAAAAAGCTTGAAAGACATGAGAGAGAACTATAAATCAGTGGTTGAGAAGAGCATGTAGAACACAAGTTCCTTTGCTAAAGACAAAGTACATATCATGGTATAATACAGGCATGTCCCTTTACACTCATTCTCAATCCATGATCAGGTGCGAAAGAGAAACATAATAAAGACATAGCTGAAGTGTATAACTACCATAACATGAGAAGTGATGCAAGAATAATACATGATAGGTGGCTAGAAGATTATGAACTAACAGTGTTCAAATACAGACAAAAAGCAATAGTGGTAAAACCTCCATGCTCTAGAACAGAGTGTGGTATGTTAAGGGGTTGGGACTAAACACAAACCAACAGCGTGACCCATTTACTGTTTGTTTAAAAGCTGCTGGATGTGGTGCTGAAGTTAATTATGAATTGTGACTTGACAAGACATAGGGCTGATGACTGCTCTGTTTTGTTTATTTCTTCCTTTATTTAACAGTGCTGTGTTGACTGCTTAGGTCATCTAGCAAACAACTGAGAAATACTGGAATGTAACTTGTTTTATGGGAGCACATATTCAGAACAGCTAGCTGCTGATTGAAGATTGAACCAGGGACCTCAAAAATAAAGGGCTGTATTTTGTTTTATATGTGTATTTGGTTTATAACATCATTCTTGTCAAAGCATAAAGATTCTGAAGTGCAAGTATTTATACTTAATTAAGTCCCTTTCTTTTGTAATGGGTACCTAACAATGTCAATGAAACAAATTACAAGAAAGCAAGTGAATTTCTCCTGTGTCTAATCACTATGCCATAAAAGAAAATAATGAGCCTGCAGATTGTGTTGCAGTATGAAAGCGAGTGTTCAAATTATTCTCCAGCAAAATTTTACTCACATGGGAGAGATTCCCTGCTCATGATCTCCTTACATTACACATTATGGTTCAATAGTCATAGTGGACAGGGTGAAGGTGAAACAATTATTTCCATCACTTCTCCTAGGGACCAATATTGGCCATTTTAGACAGTCAAAGATATACCATGTTGCAAAAAAAAAAAAAGAAAAGCATAATAAAACTACACGCGTTTCTTACAGGAATTTTCTGTATGACAGCATGAAAGTATGACTAAGAATTGGCAGCATAATTGTTTCATGTGGACAGATGGATATGGCAATATTTCTGATTATTACCTGCATTTGTTAAACATCTATAACATAAAGGATATCCTCAGGACTACAGCATAGAGAGTGTGTAGGAATTTGTTACAAGAGTTTTACAACTTTTAAAAAAATATGAGTCTAAAAAATGTAAATATTCAGAGGAGCAATATCCATATCTTTCTTCCATTACAGGTGCATTGCTTTAAAACAGAATAGTATGTAAAATGCGCACATGTAAATATATGCATTCTGGCAGTACAGGAATACATATACAAATGGGAAGGGAGGAAGGTAAATTTTTCCAGAAAAATGCAAATTTGTAAGAAAAGGACTGAAGGTGGCAACAATTGTCAAATATTTTGTATCATGATTACATTATTTAGAACTGGGACAGACAGAGGTGGCAAGGTTTCACCATGACAACTGTTTGTAATCTAAGAGGGACACACATAATTTAGAGCAATTCCTGTACTTTTGATGTAAGTATTTATTTTAAATTCTATAAATATTTAATATTTCTGTTGTCCCTAATAAGAATAAATGCTGATGTCAGTATCAATTTGAAGAAACTTGATCACATTAAATCCATGTAACCATCATTACAATACCAGAACACACTCCTTTAAACAAAACTAAGTGGTTGGCCATGTAAGTTTCAGAAAGTCTGAAATAATGTACCATACATTCTTAACATCAGCACTAGACAGAAGTGACTGGTTAAAGAGCCATGTAGCAAATAACTTCAGATCTAAGGAAAGAATATCCAATATTCCTCGGATATTTGGCTTTCTTTGTATTGTATAACAGCACAAGTTGCAAGAGATTATTTTATTAATGTTTAACAGTTTTCCTTATCTGACACAGTAGAATTAAATGTTCCTTTCTGCGCTGATCCCATTAAAATACAGTGCATAAAGGACCTTTTTCATGAGCACAGATTACACAGCATCAAATCTGAAATGACAGGATGATCATAAAGGATGAATTGCAAAGAATGTTGAAGTATACAGCCACACTCTATCATCTGCCCTATTATTTTTTATCATGATAGAAATATCAGCTAACTATTCTCATTCACAAATAGAATCTACACATCCATAATAATTTTGAGATACTATCTCAGGATATTCACTGAGAGACTGAGGTGCCTCAAAGAAGTTTTGTTATGCCAAATCTCCAGAAACAGACTTGCCCCAAGAATCTTCATAATATTACCAGGAATACTAACTGGTATAATTTCATAGTCAGTAGGATGTTATAAATGAGTTACGCTGCTACAGCCTAGACCCAATAAAAAAGGGAGTGATCTAATGAGCAAAAGAGAAAAAGAGAAAGGAGAGGTGTAAAAGACAGATCAAAATATAACTGTGCGCAGGTCTTACTCTCTGGTAGATGGCGTCAGCAGTCAAAAAAGAGGAGCTACGATAATTAGGGTGGTGTTGGTGGTGGTGCGGAGAGTGAGTTTCCAGCCACTTGAATTAACAACCCCACCGAACGAGCGACAGAAGAAAATGGAGCAAAAACAAAAAAACAAAAAAGAGGAGAAAACATAGACCAATATCAGTTTTGTTCAGAAACCAACAGAATCCCCAGTTACCACCAAGCTCCTACCACAACACAAACATAGTATTTCACTGTATACGAAAATTACATTACATTACTGTATGAATCATTCTGTTAATGGTTTAGTATGTGTCTTCCTGATATTAGAACCATGTTTCAAAGAGTGAACCAATGACACCATCACAATCTGTTTTCAATAAATATACAATTATTCTATTTTATATGTATGTGGAACCTGGTCTCTTGCTTTAGAGGAGGAAGAGGGTAATGACTATTTAAGAATCAATTTCCAAGAAAGAATATCTGGACACAAAAATGGACATCAAAGAAACTACGTACATATACAGGAAGCTCAAAATTTATACTCTTCACCTAGTATATGAGATATTTATGAATTTAGAAGGGACTGCAAGGTACTGACCTGAGAGGTAATATATACTACTTTGTTACATTAACAAGGTATTTTTCTTTTTAAGACCATAAAAAATACTCTGAAAATAGCAAAATACATCAGATATAATGCAGTTCTTACACATATGCTCATGAAGACCATTTTAGTGATAATTATCACATCCAAAACTACACACCACATTAAAAACCTGTATACAACATAGATTATTCAACTTAAGAGTGGGAACTTTTAATACATTTATTGGTGTTTCAAAATATAACCAAATATATATACTTAGGTCTTGATATGTAACTGTAGAAGTACCATCAGATTTATATAAAATGTCAGTGTACTAGATATATTTCACTAGCAAGGACTATTAAATACTAAATTTCATCAAATTTCATTCAACCAGATGAGAGTTCTTTCACATGGACAAAGAGATCAAAGATAACAGGTATTTACTGATGGCCATGAAACAAGAAAATTAACTTTTGAGCAAGCTAACAATATGGCAGATGTGAATGTAAAGCAAATTCCAAAAGTGATTTTGTAGTTATCAATGGAATGTTATTGAACTTAGACTGAGGTTCTCAAAGCTGTGACTATGAAGATTACAGTCTTCTTGGATGTGACACCAAGTAGTATGGCTGCAGGTACCAAAATTTTGGAGGAATCTGCTGCCTCCATATTCAGAGTATCTCTTCTACCCTGCAGATGAAGGCTTCTTGTTCCTCTGGAATACTGATGAACATCTGCCAGACTACACAACATCACATCTCAGAAGACAATAATAATTTCATAAATCCTGTAAAGAATATCTGGTTGCATGAAAATGAATGGCTTGCTTATAGGTGACATAATGACATGGGATCAACTCAATCATTAAGGAATTTATCATGAAAAATGTCTACATAAAAAAGTAGACAGGGCAGTGAAGGAAGTGGTTGTGTCATATTTCAATATAATAGCTGGTGTTGCACCGCAATTTTGAGACTAGAAGTCAAAATGCATTGCCTAAATGTTTCGAGACTTGCGAAAAGTGTTTTACAGCAATCGAGCAAAGATGACAACACATGGACTAGGGAATTAGGTTAAGAATGTTGATGATCAGCATTTATGCGTAATCGCATAAGTAAGAAGCTCCACTAACTGGGCCACTGAAGTATAATAATATTATCAAGTACGCAGCGATGAAGTACCACGGGCCCACCCACAGCCAAAGGGTAGCCAATGGAAACCCTCCACCCCAAAATTTAGGACGAAAGGAGGAGTTAACCTCCCTCTTTCGTCAACCACAGAGTCAGCAAGTTAATGATATAAATTGCTGAATTCCGGAGATTTAGGGATCTGATCAAAAACGTAATATTGAGTTGATATATTGGGTTTTTGGACTTTATCCATCGTCCTGGTTTTTAAGATAACTAATAAAAACCAGGACGATGGATAAAGTCCAAAAACCCAATATATCAACTCAATATTACGTTTTTGATCAGATCCCTAAATCTCCGGAATTCAGCAATTTATATCATTAACTTGCTGACTCTGTGGTTGACGAAAGAGGGAGGTTAACTCCTCCTTTCGTCCTAAATTTTGGGGTGGAGGGTTTCCTTTGGCTACCCTTTGGCTGTGGGTGGGCNAATAAGAGTGTTGTGGTAAAATGTTGAAAGCAAACTCCAGTGTGCCAAGCGAGCCCTTAGGGTAGAATAAGAAAAATAATGTAACAAGTAACAGGCAAGGGTTAGTGTGGTAAACATGGTTGTTGTTATAGGGTATTATGATTACTGGTAGTATGTGGAGCATGCATATTTGTTGTTCATAGTGGCGACTATGGATTTTGTGATAACTATATGTAGGATTTCAATATGCATAACTTTAGGGGTAAAATATTTTAAGGGTGAAGTATTATGATAGTGTAGTAGTGTGTAATGAGTAGTAGGAAATGGAGACAGGAAAAAGGTTCACGTCGAACGATGAATAAACGCATAAGTCGAAACAGAGAGAGAGAGAGAGAGAGAGGCTTAAGGCCTACACCCCCATAGGGGAGAACATGAGGAAGTATAGCATGAAAGTAAAGACACTATGTAGTCCCAACTGAAAGTCGGCCTGGTTAACATTGTAAATATTGTAAATAAGAGTGTAAATAGACAGGGTAGTTAGAGTAGGATGTACCGGGATTGTGATTCACACCTCCATAATCAACCTTCCCACAACCGATCCAGAGGATCCTACCAAAATGAAAGGGAGCAGCAGCCGAATGCAACGACAATTAAGGGGAGGTACTAGGAATGAACAGGGATAGGCACCTGCCACGCAGGCAGCGCTTAGTAGCCTTTACATCAACGCTCTCTTAAGACGTAATAAGTGGTAACACCCACCCCCATCACTAAGACATAACTGGGGACAGTGGTGAGATATCAAATCCACCCCTGTCGTAGAAGTGTAATATAGGGTGGGACAGTCGATGGGTAGAGGCGGGTCTGACCTGACACGCCCGCTCTATGCCAATAATAAGAGGTGACAAGGAGGAAAGGGCCAGCCAAAAGAGAATGCTCGACTACCGCGTTACCAGCCTTTAGTACTTTCATCACCTCTCTGAAGATATAATATAGACAGCTGCAGCTTTATGTGATGAAGGACGTCCTGAACCAGGAGAATCCTAGCAGAGGGTAATTGAGGATTATTGTGTTAACCCCTTACAGCGTAGCTGTGGTGGCAAGGAGGGATACCTCCACGCCCCCTTGCCACCACGGCATAATAGCTGGCATTCACCTGGAGTAAATGCGAAAAACTGCAAAAAAATATCATTTAGGACACATAGTGCTCCAAGGCCCAAACTTGGTACCACATGATTATAATGAAATATGAGCTATCCTCTTTAGAGTGAGAGACAAGAAATGTTTGTAATGTTTCCAGTCAGTCATGCAGGACGTCATTGGTTCACAATGATGAGATTTGTAAGTAAGTTAATATGTTTCTTGTACTATATTTGAATTATAGTTGAGCTTACATTAAATTATTAAAAGTACAAGAATTGTGAGGCAGCATATGGATAAAAATTAAGGAAAATTGTATATCATACCCCATCAAATATATCCAGAACCTCGTCCCACCACTAGAAAGAAGGAAAACAACAATTTTAAAATGTAAAACTATCAAGCCATAATCCACATTCTACAACAGGGCATGAAATGTTATAAAATATCACAGGAAACAGTAGCCATCTTTCCTTACAAATGATGATCCTGGTGTTTCAGATTTCACTAGTTCCTTTGTTCCTTTAACAATCCAATTTTCTACAGCAAAGTTTGTGAACAACTTTGATTATCAAATGATGACACATTCCAACCCCCAATCAAAAATGAGACTGTAACATTTCCTCTGTTAAATTCGTAAGGCCAAAAATATATTACGAGATGCAGGATCTAACATTTGTTCTGATAATTTATATTGCAGTTAGCTGATGGATCTCACAACATGCTCTTCATAAGTACAGTTCAGGCAAGAAATAACAAAAAATCTAACAGCAATATCACTATTTCAACGCACGTTAAAAATGTTATTCCAAGAAATTACATTTGTGCAAAATGGCTGGGCTTGCAGGGTTGATCTGATGAATTCTGAGCCGGGTTTGAATGTCTTAAAATATGTGCAATGTAGAAATATGTCATGAATAAGATTTAAATCTGCAGGATTCAACCTGCCCCATAAACGATATAAGTGATTTTAATGACACAGGTTATTTGAAATGGCTTCAACAGCCTATTATAATTCTTAACAGAAGATTAAATTTTTCTGTGTGCTACTTCAAAACAATTTGTTCTATAATGTTACACTTTTTCTGTTAGTGAAGAGAAGCAAGTTTGAAAACTAAGTATTGTTCAATAGAAAACATAGGAATCAAAATCTGAATATCAAAAGGTATTAATGAGCTCTTCTGCTAAATCTTACATGTCCCCTTATCCCACAAAGACATTTCTCCCTAAACATGAATTGCTATGGAAGTGTTCCTGACTGTGAATGGGAGTTACACTTTGTAATATAAATTCTAACATTACATTAGTATGGAATTCAATGAGCTGTTCAGGAATTATTATTAACCATGTTTTACTTTAAAAATCTCTTGAATATGTACTGTGTATAAGGATGTCCAAAAGGTGCTGTTGTGCAAGTAACAGTGCATGAACACTAACATTATTGATGAGGATCTCACCTGTTTTGTCTCTTTGTCAGAGATTGAAGAGTGTCCTGGCTCATAGTCTTCTATTCTGCCAGGTTGGTTTTTATATACTTCAGTGGCATACTTGATGGATGCAGGATGAGGAATATAGCTACAACAAAAACACCCTTTTATATTATGTCATGCTGTCTGCAGATTATGCCAGTCTCTATTTGTGTCATGATACAATGCAATAATGTCACAGTCTTTGCATGTTTCCATGTTTAACTGATTATTCTTGTTGTCTTGTGCTCTGTGAAGAGCTAGCAATAACATCTCAGTGCATACATTTTAGTAACAATTATGATTTTTTGAATGCTGAGGGCTGGATAAAGTTGAGAAATGACATACTGAGGGGGCACAAATGAGATTCATAAGAACATTAGTTGGAGTAACAAGAAAAGACCATGCCCAAAATGAAAGCATCTGACAGCAACCTGGGGAAAATGGTATAATTTACAACCCTGGGAAGCATTCTCTATAGTGAAAGGAACATTTGTAATGGATGCCAGCAAAGCTTCTAGCCAGAACAGGAATGAAGTACAGACCACAAGAGCAAACAGGTTTGGGAAGGATCAATAGTGTGCTTTGATTAGGAAGAAGAGGAGGAGGAGGAAGAGAGATGAACAAAATCTCTATATGAAGTCTGACAATTAAATAATGAGATTAGACTCAGGGGCAGCATTGTATTAATTTCTTTTATTCTGAACTGCAGTGGTCTCACTAGAAAACAACTAATTTTGATCTGCAGCCACATTCTTATATGGAAACTAGTTGCCACCTGCAACTATTGCAGCAATGCTTGCAACTGTCAAAGCTTTGCCAGAAGTCATTCTCCTGCAAGTTGTTTACAATGGCTATCATTAACATTATGAATGTCTTCCATCGTTTCAAAATGTAATTCTTTTTTACTGTTCTTCATGGCAGGGAAGAGGAAGAAATCACAGAGAGTCAGACCTAATGGCTAAGTAGGGTTTTCCAGAACCCAACTGATTTTTCAGAAAAATTTCCTTAATATAAAGTACTATGTGTGAGGGTGTGTTGTCACATTACAGGATCCACTTGGCAAGGAACAATTCTGGCCTCACACAATGAACCTGCTGTTTCAGATGTTCCAAATCTTGAATTTTCTATAAATACAAACCACTCCGTCCAATGTGACATATAAGTTTTTATTACGTTAAAACTTATCTCCCTTACATGTTTCGGGCCTTATGGGCCATCTTCAGAGGGAACATCATTACAAACTGGAAACTACCATCACAATAAGTGTTTTGATTTAAAATACATACACTTATATCCTATAATGCACAGTACGCATAAAGTCGAACGTTTCACAATCACAGCAGCTTCCTGGTGTTGTAAAGTTTTTAAAAGTTTCTAGATGTTATTTAGTGTGACGGACCAGAATGAAACAAATCAAACTTGAACTTTCTGTTGACAGAATAGAAGGATTGGGTCTTGAGGCATACAGNATTTCTCACTGTTCAACATTTTTGTACAGCTCTAATGTTGTCAGACTTTCGGGTCAGCTATCAAACTCAACTTTATCCTCACCTTTCCAACATTTTCTTTTGATTTTGATGATTTTAAGACATCCAGATCTGCTGTCAAACTTCACTTTATCCCTTCCTTCAGATAATCATTTACATCTCTCAAAAACACGTGGTCTTGGCATAGCATCTTCTCAATACTCTTGCCTTAACCATTTAATCATCTTGGTTGGTCTTCTTCTAAGTTTGAAGAAATGTTCCATATTAATTCTTCATTCAAATCTTTCATCAGCCATTTTAATGATGAACTACAGAAATACTACTTCATTTAAGGAACAACAGCTCTGTACTTGGTAGACTTGCCAAGACAAGTTTGCTATTATGTGGAGTGAAGACATCAGTGGCAGTAGGTCAGCGTTGTTAGTCCCGTTATTTGATTGTCAGGCTTCATATAGCATGTCCTCAATTATCCATGAGCGAACTATGTGATTTGGGGATTAACCACAGTGCTTTTAGATAAGCCAGTACTTGAAATAAATAATTATCTGCAATGTGCCCATCTCAATATTTAGCTGTCTGAATGTTTCAATTGTGATTCGTGCAAACTCTAGGCTTTCTATTGTTTTAACACCCTCCCTTAAAACTGATCTTTTATAACCTTGAGTAATTTGTCATTCACTAATAAAAACAGCAAACAAGGTAAAGCTATCCCTGTAACAGGCTGTGAAGGTCCATAAGGTTATGAGACGTTGAGGCTCCCACATCTTCTAGACAATCGGCTCATAGATGGCAGTAAGGTTGTCAGCCCCATGTGCCGGCCGCCCTTTATCCTCCAGGAAGATCCCTGGTACTCCATTCTGTTACAGGGTAAGTCAACCCCAGGGC